GCAGGAATCATGTTGTGCATATATAGAGAATTTTAAAATGAAAAAAAATGAGTGTGAAATATCTACATGGGGCAGTGAGTTAGAACTGTGTCACCCCTACAATCATATGTTCTACATGGAATCGCTCCAAATCGGAGTTAAGGCTGTCCGGGTCTTTTAACTGTACATTATTCACAACGCAACATTTCGATTTAAATTTTTAAAATTATAAATCCAGGAAATTCAGAGTTGTTACAACATGCCCACAATGCTCATCTTAATGAAGAAATGTATTTTCAGCCTTACTCCACTTTAACTTAGTTTTTGTTTGAGAATATATTCTATAAACAAGCTAAATTTTAACAATGTGGGAAATTAGAAGAATTATCGTCTCAAATTATCTTTGCAGAAAAACACATCTGACATTGTTAGTCTCCAGTTGTAATGAATTTCATCTCAAACTAGATAAAAGATTTACTTTCAAATATGCATAAAAGTTATTCTGTGTTCTATTAGTACCTCCATAACATTTAGAACACTGGAAGAAAGTTTCTAGCAAGCTAAAAGGCCTAAGTGTAGTTAGCTTTAAATGCTAAACAGGTTGGTGTAATTTAAAATAGAACTATAATGACTGGGGAAAGAATAGAACAGTGTATCCACACCTTTGGTCAGTGTTGGTCACTGGTCTCATATTCTGGTTACTTACCTTTCTGTTAATTTTCCCATAACAAAAGAGCTCTGGATTCTACCATATATTAAAGTTCTGTGTTATTTATCCAATATCAGGCACAAATTTACCCATCTCGGGCACAAATTACTGGCCCAGTGTAGCGCAATGCAAAACAGGGTCAAAATGTATAAGTGCTCTTGACAGCTATTTGCTGTAAGGCAAGGTTAAAGATACCTTGGTCTAAAGTTTAGATAAACTGCCAATTAAAAAAAAATATTTATGTAAGATCTTCCTACACAAAATATTTATGTAAGATCTTCCTACACAGGGAGGCTTGACAGATCTGCTGTAATACAAGACTCAGTATAGCCAAGTGCAGTTGGATAAACTGGTTCAGTTGGGTAAACAGTTATGCTGAACATACTACAGTTACCACATTTAAGAAAGGAATTTGATTCATGACCGATGTCACCCATGCACAGACAAGAAAAAACTAGGCTTAAGTGACCAAATTGGAATATTTCAAGAGGTGCTAATAAGGAAATTCCCTTATTTAGTATTGCTGATTTTAACCGCACTACAGAAGTCAATATGCATTGGGTAAAGGAAATCAGACAAGTGTAGGCAAAATTAGAAAGGGCAAAATAGGAACAGAAGGTCAGGGTGAAGAGTTAAAATAACATTATGAATACCAGCTACATAGCAGAGAAGTATCACACAACAAAATGCAGACATCTCTCCAGCACGAAGGTTAAGGAAAAAAACGCTATCCATTAGAGAGGAGGTGAATGACAGAATAACTAGAAGGCATTCAGAGAAGTGTTTACATTTTGCCTCCCCTCCTTTGTGAAGTCCCAAAGCTGGTCACTTCTCACACATTTCACTAAACCATCATGTTCCAGCATGCCTTGAGCTAACAAAACCACCACCTGCAAGAAAGAAGTGCAGTTTTCGAGGGATGGGGGTGGAGCACAAAATCCAAGTCTTTCAATAGTGCAGCTGCCTTTATACTTACCTTACAGAAAGGAAAAATAAGATTCTTTAAAAAAAAAAAAAATACGGAATTGTACTGCAATGCTGAATGAAAACAGGATTTATTTCCTACTCCCACTGGCAGGCAGGCAGGCGCCATGCCCCAATTCAGTTCAATAGCAGCACTGATCTTGCCAACCCAAGATGTGTGAGAATGCCTCCATGGGATAAAATGACTACAGTGAAATAGCAATTTCAAAGAGTCTTCCAGAGGGGAAGAGAAAGGGCCTATAAATATAAATCCCTCTTTTGAAAATCTTTTAGGTTTTACTTTCCTTAAAAAGAAACTTTAAAAAATTATGGAGATAACAGGGCAAAAGCAAGTTTTAGTCTTTATAGCACTACTACACTATTCCGCTGGGATATCTCACTAGGTTTTGTCAATTTTTAGTTCAGCTAAGAAGTCATCTTTAATCTTACATTTATTAATATTAAACATATTTGGCTCAGGAAGAAACTCAGATGTGCTTTCCTCATACCATTAGTTTCTGCAAATTTCTGAACATCAGCCAGAGTTCTGAGCTCTTTCCTTGGACAAGCTGCAACACATAGAGCAATTGACTTGATCCTCCGATGTACCAGGTCTACATTGCATGGATCCAGAAAGAACACATACCTAGAATAGAAAAATGCTGGTAAATTTTTATTTTTGGACAGGATAGGAACTAAACAAGACTTTGTTTCTAGCCAGAGAATTCTACCAAGACAACTGCAAATAATGCCAAACAAAAATACTTCCAGATTTCCTATATTTTAGGGCATCAGGGTATAAATATAGACAGAAACAAGCTGTGAGGTGTTGAATACACGTACTACCCACACATCTGTATTTAAGGTGGGCATAGTCTAATAACATTTTATTAGATTCCAATGCATTGGTACCGGGTCCAGCCGTAAACTCCATCTGACTGGAAGGCCTGGTGGCAATGTGGGCTACTTGTGGCAGGGCAGCTCTTAAGAAATACTACAATGTTGCAACCTCCAGAGTAAAGTGAGTATAGGGCACTCCAAAACCCTAGCCCCCACTGCCTTATGGGTACTCCATGGTTGGAGAAAGGCTAAGGGGACATGACCCTGACAGAAACACACCCCTGATGAGGAGTTAGGCAGTCAGCAGTTCTTATCTGATGCTCTCTGGCAGATGCTACAATCACTGAGGCACTGAATATCTGGACTCCATCTAGCCTTTGGATTGTTTCAATGGTCCAAACGGGGAATAGTAGGTCTTGGGCAGCCTCCACTCCTCCATACTCTTGCCTAGGCACATGCATTGAAGGTGCTGGGATGATGGTCAGAGGACTCCACACAAGCGGATTCATCAGGCATCTAACTAGACCCGTTATGTATACACCATGATCCAGAGGATAGATGGTTGCCTACTAATGCACTGAAGTGGCACTTGTTTATATAGCTTCAGCATCCTATGATGCCTTTTCATAGCTCTACACTACCTGGAAGATCTCCAGTCTCTCCTCTAATACACAAAATGAAAGAATGCTCTAGGCTTGTATTTATGCTACAAAAAACCCTCAAAGTCTCAGAATATTTTAATGAAAATATGTAATTCAAATAACTTGCAACAGTTTTTTGTTTTACAACGATTTTCCACACCACTGGGCCACAATATTGAGTAAATCATTCTGGTATTTATTTTGAAGTATAAAAACTGTTGAGCTATTTCAGGTAGGACTATCTACTGTGCAAATGAAGTATTTTAAGCTGATTCTGGTTTATAGATTTCCATAATCTCTATTGTCATTTAAAGACATCCAATGTCATGAAATCTGTATCATACATCAGCTTTTAGCAAGCATCTCCTCCTTTCTATATGCATCTTATGATGAAGTACTAAATTTGGATCTGGTCTAATTCATTCAAAGTGTATAAGACGACTTAATTTTTATTTTTTTTTAATTCTGATCTCAGAAAACTCACTTAAGGTTATAATACAGTTTGACACAGCTATACAATATTTAGTCCACATACATAGATTGCATCAGCAAAAATATTCTGTAGTTATTTCAACTGTTAAAAATGCTTTTCAGTAAGTGCACTATGAAAAAAAAGACCCCTTATACAGTTGGTACTTTGTATTTGGCTCTTTTGAACTGAACTCTTTTTTTTGACAAAAGCAGTCTCTTCCTATGACAGCAAGAGTGAAGGAGAACACTGTCAAATACCATGCTTTATGCCATACACTATAAAGACAGTACCTGTAAACCCACATTGTCAATACAGATGTCTGTGATGAAGGCAAGTGTCAAAGCATAAATCTATTTTTAAATAATCAGAATATGGTTGTCTAAAAATTGTGGAATCAAACAGAAAAATATTTCCTCTATGATACAAAAAGACATGCTTATTGGTAATTACTGCTCCTGGTTACCCAAAATCTTTCTGACCACCTGCCATGAGTGTGCCTTGCCCTCCTCTTTGGATAGCATGTTCCATTATCCAATTTCAGTGTACAAGAGTTATTACTATTTAGTCTCAATTTCTTAGTTCTTAGCTTCAGGGCTTCCTTGTCCTACCACCTGAAACCAAATCAATCTCCGTCATCATTTATATTACCTAAAAAAGTATTTATAGACTGCTCACGTTCTCTGAATAGTCTCTTACCTGGTTTAACATGGACTATTTCAGTATCTTCATGTACCAATCCTTGGGCCACTGCTCTTTTTGGGCTTTTTTTTTTCACCTCCTTACCCCTCCTCCTACATCAGGAATGGGCAAAATACAGGCTGCCAATTGATTCTATCCAGCCTGCAGCACCAGAGGCCAGAGCCGGAGCCACCACCCACCCATGGGCCGGAAAGAATCGACTGGTGGGTCCGTAGGCAGCAGCTCCAGCTCCAACCTCTCTTGGCAGTGGGGGATACTAGGCAGAAGCAGCCTGGTCTGCCTGCCCGGCACCACGCAGCAGCCTGGGAGATGGAGTCCAACCCCAGGGTGCCAGGTGGGCAGGGCTGCTTCCACCCCGTGTCCCCTGCCATGCCAGCAAAGGCCGAAGCCCTGCCAGCTTCCCCACCTAGCACCACGCAGTGGGAGAACTGAGGCCCATGCCCTGGGCCACCCCCAGCCAGGTCTGCACAGCTGCAGGGCAGGGGACAGGAAACTAGCCTAGAGGTGGGGGTACCCCCCACACCTCTGCAGGGCTGTAAATGCCACAGCCCCACCCCTGGCGTAGTTCAGCTCTCAGTCCCATTCCCACCCACTGTTGTCAGTCAAGCTGGGCAGCTTGTGGTGGGTGGGGTTACACAGAGGTAAGATACTACAGTCCAGGGTGGGCTCATGCTCCCACTGCTGCTCTGGCACCAGACCCAGCCTGGCTTCAGTAGAGTCACCACATTTCCAAACTGGAAGGAGGGACCATATGCTCTTCTCCCCTTCCCCCTGGTCTCGCTCCCTCCGCAACCTCAAGCAGCCCCTCGCAGGCTGGAACTCTGCCAGCCTGCAAAGGGAAACCCAATGTTTTCCATTGTTTTGTGCAATGAATGAAAAACCTGGATCCCTGCACGATACTGGAAAAACTGGAACAAATGCTGTCCTGGAGTCATTCAGCACAGGACCAGGACTTTATCTTTAAATTTGGGACTGTCTCGCCTAATTAGGGATGGGTGGTCAGCCTAGGCGCAGATGAGCTCCCTGCAGCGTGTGCATGCACAGTCCTCTGCTCACCAAAATTCATTAAGTGGCCCTCCAGCCCAAATACTTGCCCAGCCTGTCCTACATCTATCCAATACCATGCACATCAGATTTATACATACATTAGGGGCTGTGATGCGAGCACAAAAAAGCTGGAAAGCGTGAAGCTGGCATTCTTGCCTGCAGCTGTTTGGGTAACTAATGTAAGTGCAACAAGGCACGAATGCTCCGTGTCTCCTAACAAAAACAAAACATTCACTATTTCACACTGGTGAATTGTTTAATATTAAAGATATCAACAACAAGAAAACAATTAGAATAATTTATTCAAGGCTGATACTAATGGGACACTAGTCTTGCTTTTTACTCTTCTGGTAAGAAAACAACTTGTAACTCGCCTATAGATGCTGTTCTAGGGCCCCTGACATTAATATAAATTACACGATTAGGATCTGAGGAATTTTATGCACTTGTCCCCACTCCTCTATCTATCTCCCACCCATGTCAGGATCCAAGGAATTTTATACCCAATTATGTGACTTTTGGGTTGTGCAACTGGAGGATTGGGAGGTTCCCTGATCCAGAACCCAGAGCTGCCCCCTGGAGGGGCCAGCTGTGTCCCCCAACACTGAGGCCTGCTCCCTACCCAGTCTCCATGATCAACTGATAATTGTAATTGGACAGAGGGCTGCCTCCGCCCAGGAACCTGTGCCACATTCAATTTATGGCACAATACAAACCAGCCACAAAGATGTTTCAAAAATGGAACATTTTACCATGCCATGAACTGGTTGAATGTATGGCATGTTATCATTTATCATAAAAAAAAGGAACCCATGCCAGGACCCTAGGAGTACTGACATAAGCATAGATCCGGGTTTTCCATTTCCCAACGGAAAAATGAAGAAAAACATGGATTTTTCATTTTAACAGAGAAACATGCGGATTTTCCACTTTGGAAGGGCTCTCTGCAGGCGGGCAGAGTTCTAGCCTGCAAAGGTCTGGGAGGAGGGCCATTAGGCAGGGGGTACCATCTGTATGTACATGTGCATGGCTGCCAGACAACCTAGGGAGCAGCTCCCACATGAAAGTCAGGGGGGGGGTCTGAGGCCAAGAGAGACAGGGAGAAGAAAGGAGTTGGGCAGGACCGAAATGAGAAGGAACACAACAGGTCAGAATGCTTTTAAAATTATGAATTCCTATTTGAATTCTCTGCGTTTCTCTTGAGAATTATGTTTGCTCCCCAATAGTGCTATAACACTGTGTGGCACCACTGAAAGGATCTTAAGGCAACCTAGGCTGAGAATCATTGATCTAAATAAATCTATTACCATAGCAATAAGTACCAAAGCATGCAAACTTCAGTGTTTCTAACAGGAAAACTTCAGTAACACCTCCAAAACAAAGCTTGGAGCTACAGAACAAAAATTTTTAAAATCATAAAGTTAAAAGTTTAAAGTTTGAGATACTGAGAACTTGTTACAAAGTGTTTAGTATTCTTCACTTCCCACCAACATCATCATTTCAACTCTTGCCAAATACCTCGCAGGATCAAAATCCTTGGATAAAAAAGCTGACACAAGTAGAAAAATTGTGTTCACTAAAGCACAGTTCGATCTGCTGCCCAGAGTTTCTGAGGCCAGGGTCGCTTGGACTTCTCTATGCATCCTATATAAAGTTTGCTGCCCCAGGAGCTGGTAAAACCTTTTCAATCTTCCTCTAAGAAGAAAAACGATACAGCCAAATGGTTTCACTTCACCCTTGCAACCAGTTTTCCAGCGTCCGAGAACATTTTTGACTTAGAAAAGGAAAAACTCGCATCAGTCAACCAACTTACTCATCTGCATTTGTTGTTACTACTCTGAGTAGCTGTATTAATGGGCCACTTCCTCTCTGCATTGAACAGCAGAGCTTTCTAGAGATTTTTTCAGGGAAGACTGTTCTTGGTTTTTTGGGGGGTTTTTTGCTTCA